CCACTCCTGCTTCTCCCCTTCTCATTCCCGCCTGCATCCTCCCGCCTCTCACCTCGTGGTCGACAATCTCTCTGAACCTCCTTCACTCCTCCCACACTTCTCGTCCGCCTCCCTCGCCCACACCGGGGAGATGAGACAGACGAGCCAGCCTCAAGTCCTCACTCGACCACCGCTCCAGAGGAGTGCAGGTCCCGAGCGGCACATACTCCCACGTATCCTACGTGAAGGTATACGCGACCTGTCGACTACGTCGGATATGGTTCAGCGAGGGCGAGCCGCAGCAAACGCCTTCCATGGGAGTTTCAGCTGTACGCGGCACAAAATCAGCAGTAAAGTTGCCCTCGGGAGGCAGGAGCATGTACTATGTCTCGTAATATTATATATAGCACTGTTCTGCACAGTCTCTGCATCAGCCTGCATACTTATCCCATTCCCGCGCTGTAACTCAGCTAGGTTGGGCAGCATGCACGTTTGCGGGAGTCGCGGATGTGAAGCAGTCAGATACCGTCGAAGGGCTGACCCGCATACGCAAGTGTCAACAAGACGGTAGCTACGTACATAGGCAAAGAACACGATCCAGAAAGCCTATGCAAGCGTCGCAAAGCGAGTAAAAATCTACAGTGAGTGGCATACACACAACACCGGTCTACAAGTTATACACCTGATCCAACCTGATCTCCTCTTCTATAAACAAATTGATGATACGACATGAACCCTCGATGAGGTAACCCAATTTTGTGAGCCGCAGGGCTGCAGTCCTGACGTGCCCGGCGTGAACGCTCAGACCGGGACCATACGTGAACGCGGAATGAAAGCCCAAATAACGATCATGGTCGACATCATTGACACAATGCTACGCTCACCCTCATCAGCACTCCGTCCCCCCGAGGATAAGTACGAGAAACAACACTCACAACGGCTGCAAACTCGTGATCCCAAAACGCGACGCCAGAAGACCAGTCAGGAACGGGAGCACCGCCGAGCCGGCCTGGCCGATGCCTGCGATGTACCCCATGCAGCCGGTGAGGAGCCAGCGCGGGAGGATCTTCGTGGTGTGGTTCATGAGGATCGGGTACATGGGCCCGAGGAGCAGGCCGACGAACGCAACGGCGACGGCGTTCTCGATGAGCGAAGGGACCACCCAGACCGTCACCTCCAGCCTGTATGCAGGGCAAGGTTAGGCTATAAGCATGATGGCGTCGTCGTGGAACGTGAGAAGACGCACTGGATAGCGAGAAGAGCGTAGAGGAAGAGCGCACGACGTTCGCCGATCTGACATATCGGTTAGTCCGGCCGGGTAGCGTTCGGCGCGCAGAAGGGACACGGACCTTCTTGTTGAGCCACATCAAGAGGATGCGCCCGAGCATGAGCCCTGCGAAGAAACCCGACGAGATGTACCCAGCATTCGAGTTCCCGTGCCGCTTCTCCTGCACGTACGTGACACTCCAGCCGCCAATCGTGACCTCCGTGCCGACGTAGATGAGCGAGAAGAGCGCGAGGACATGTACTGCACGGATGGTGAAGATCTGCTTGTATTTGTTCGTTTGGATCGCGTCTTGGTCCGCGGCGAGATCGTCGACCTCTCTCTTGATCTCTGGGTTGACGGAAGAGTAGATAGTATGAGTGACCATCTACGACAGGTCGGAGTGGAGGGCGCACCGTCTTGCCGTCTGCCGCGGAAGACGTACCACAGCAGGACAGAGTTCACGGCGTACAGTCCCGCTGAGATGAGATAGTGGTACGACCAATGGCTCTGCTTGGAGAACTGCGTCGCAATGAGCGGAGAGATAAGCGCGCCACAGCCTGCAACGCGTCATCATGAGTGAGTGTTGAGCCAGCAGACAAGCGTGAAAGACGTACCGTACGATGCGTGGAGATAGCCGATCTTGGTAGGGACATTCTCCTTGGAGGCCGCGACATACCCATTGCAGTGTGCGTTTTGGAGAGCGAGACCGAACCCGATCAACGTGAAGCCCACGCACATGAGCGGGAATGGCCCTGGAGGAAACAGCATCGCATAGGCGGCGACCTGTAGCACAGAGCCTAGACGAGTACGATGGTTAGCCTGAGAATAACTGACAGACTTTCCGCAGAATGGCCGCAATCACCGAATAACATGACCTTCCCAAATCCGAAGCGGTCGGTCAGGTACACGTTCGCCACAGCGGCTGCGACGTAACCCTGTGAAACATTCGTCAGTAATTGGCCAATAAATCTCAGAATATTCCCGTCCAGGCCGCTTAACCACAAGCGCGGCGAACCCGGGGTGCAGAAAGGGTCCACGCGACCTTGTCAGCTGTTGAGGCACGACGGTCGGATACGAGCCGGCGGAGAGCACCGGAACTGCGTCTTACTCAATGGCGAATAGAACTCTACTCACGACAGCGTTGAAGACGAAGATGAGAGAGACCATGGCGAAGCCGAGCTACAGAAACCATCAGCTTCAGTATGTTCGCAATTGCCGCGGGACTCACCCCGTAGTAGGACTGAATCCTCGGGAGCAGTGGACCGGTGGTACCGTCGTTCCAGCCGTTCATGAAGACGACAAAGCAAAGGGTCATGAAGTTGACCAAGCGCCTGCGTTTTTGAACCGCCTTCTGTGCAGCAGAGATCGCGGGGGCAGTCGAGTCCGTGTCCTCATCGATCAAGACGGATGGGGCGAGCGAGCTGGGGAAGCTGGGAGCAATCTCCACATCGTCTTTCACCGAGGAGAAGACAACATCATCGTGGAAGCTGATATCGGTCGGGCGAACAGCTGAGGAGGTACCTCTGCCGTAGGGACTGGGATGGTCGTGCTCCTTGATGACGGGGAGCTCGATGGACTCCGGCTCGATGGCGGGCGGAGAGTCGAGAGGAGGGTGTCGCGAGAGTTCAGAGCGGCGACGAACGCGATCGCTGGTGAGGATGTGGGAATGGGGGAGCTTGAGGGAGGAGACAGACCCAGTACTGTCCGTTACGTCTCCGGGCGCGACCGGTCGCAAGCTGGGCATCCCCGCGTGCGCCGCAACATCCGCGACATCCTCATCGTCTTCTCGATCGTCGATAGCGTTGTCAAGACTGGTTTTCGAGCTTGACGCGGCAGCCCGAAGTGAGGCAGCAGCAGCAGCGAGCTCGAGCGTGTGCGAGGACATGACGTTTCGCCGAGGAAAGTGCGGGATAGAAACTGATAGAAAAGAGTCGCGCCCCGTCCTTTTGACTGCTGGATGTCCCGCACACGGGTCTCGCGGCTAAGAAATCTTCACAGCTGCACGTAATATGTCCACCGATGTCTTTCTAGACCGGACGTATCGGAGCCAGGAGGCCTTGATATGCCTGGCGTATGACTGCAGTGCTTCGGTCCGGCGTGCTGGGCCGCGGGATGCGCGTAAAAATGAGCTACAACCTGACTATGACTCCTTGCAAGTCTTCCCCACTGCCACCGCGCCAATCGCGCTCTTCATGACTGTTGAGGGGGTCTAGAAGGAGGCGGAAAACATAGTGGATGGGAGTGCGAGAGGGTCTGCGAACTCGCGCGCCGCACGGACACTGTGCCAGCATGCGTGACATGCTGTGACACCGCGCGCGAGAGGAGTCGCGATTTCGGGTCGCGCCTCTTGTCCGCCGCACTCTGCGTCCTCCTCCTAGCCCTCTCCTCCTATCCCCAAGCCCTCGCTTAGCCTGCTGCCTTTCAGAAGCTATTCCCGCGTGTTTTCTCTGCCTCCGAGACTATGCAGAACTATCACCCCCGCCTGAACAACTACCACTCGCACAAACAGAACGTCCTCGGAAACCAAGGAGCCCGACCCGCTCCCGCCTGGAAGCCCAACGCCCGGGCAGCGTCTGGCTCAGGGTCCGAGATTGGCAGCAAGATTTTACTGAGCCGTCTGCCCATAGACGTTGTGGAGGACGAGGTCGAGGTGCGTCAGGCGCGAGTACGAACGTCGCGGCGTGGCTAATCGTGCGGGTCCCTATCTCCTTCGCGCCCCTCTCCCGCAGACCCTCTTCTCCAGGACTGTTGGACCGGTGAAGGAGGTCTTGATGGTGTACAACTCACAGGCCAAGTCGCGGGGCATGGCCATTGTCTCGTTCACCCGGCCTGGAGACGCCGCTGTGGCGCGCGCAAAGTACAACGGGAAGATCGTCGACGGTCGTGAGTACTGCTTTTCTCGCGTGTGCTGAGAGTCGCAGGACTCGACGTATGCTCCTGAAGCGCGCGGAATGGTGCATAGGAGAGGGAAAGATGTCGCTCTGCGGCCATGACTACGTGGAGATGCACTCACTCCCTCGCACCTGCACACTTCGCTTCTCCACCCCTTCTTGACACTTACAGTCCCGTGTCTCTGCGCGTGTAGGCAGACCCATAAAGATTGAGATCATCACCGACGACGACGACGACGCGCGCAAACCAGCACCCGCACCCGCACCCGCGCCACCGTCCCTCCTCAATCGTCTCTCGCCTCCAACACCCGCACAAGCCGCTGCTGCAGCCGGTGCACCGCTAGTGTAAGTGTCATCGTTTCTTTCTATGTGTCTTCCCGCTCACACAGTATACTTCGGACGTAGGAACGGCCAGAAGAAAGGCGCCGCCACCGCCGCCACCGCCGCACCCGTCCCTGGCAAAGTCCGCCTACGCACGAAGAAAGGCCCCCGGCGGCTGAACAAGCAGCGAGGGCAGCAACAGGCGGCGCAACAACAGCAAACGAAGCAGAAACCGAAACCGAAGACTGCCGAAGAGCTCGACGCGGAGATGGACGACTACCGTGCGCATGGCTGACGGGAGTTCAACGTCCAGGCCTCAGGCCTCAGGGGTAGTCATGTCGGGGTGAACCGTGTACATATGTGTGCTGTCTATTGCTTTGATATTATCTGCCGCTATCCTGTCTTGTCGACAGTAACCAGTTACTTAACACCTCTGACTGTGTCGAATTTGAATAAGGTGTCTCTCCTCCCTCCTCATCCTCCTCTCCCTCCCCCTCCTCCGGAACAAAAGAGCTGAAAAAAGTTGAGATACGCGAGTCCAGTGTCCCTGGCAGGATTCGAGCCTGCGTCCCCACGGTTTGCTCGAGTGATGCACCCGATACCACAACGTGATGATCTAACCACTAATCGACAGGGACCGGAAGCCAGTTCTCTGCCGTTCTATATGAGACGTAACGTAACCTATTGACGCCCTTCTCTCTCTCGACATGCTCATCGATAGGCCCGTCAATCGTCTGCCCCAAGGGACTCCGAGGGGCCCGGGGTCACTAGTAGTCTAGTACTAATAGGTCTACAGCGCGTCGAGCTTGCACTCGGTGCAGTCACTATGCCTTCACACATTTGCTATCTTTGCAACGCAGACTGGGCTGACGGTGTTTGGTGCGGCGGAAACGAGGTGCATACGATACATTGTACATAGGCTGTGTACGTGAGATGTAGGTACTGCTACAGATGTCTGCACGACAGATAACGCAATAAAGAATAGGGTATATTCAAGGTTACATTACTGATACAACAGTCCGTCCGTGAGTGGTTCAGCTGCCCAGAGTCGCACTCGTCAACTGCTCCTCGAGGATACGCATCTCATACGCCTTCTTGAACGGCTCGTAAAGCTTCCCAGGAACAGCGAAGACAACCTTGTCAAAGGAATGCTTGAACCTAGCTTCCTGCCTCACGTCACCGACGGTCTCACCGCAGTCAAGGAGCTCCGCCCAAATGCTAGCGACGGTCTCAACCTTATTCTCGGAGGAGCATCCGAACGCACCGAGAACAAGGACTTTGTCCCGCTTGAGTTCGAACGCACGCAGGACACGTGCCATGCGTTCCTTCATGGCGGCACGAATGCCGTCTTCGAAAAGGGGCTCCTCACCAGGTTGGATGCGGTGAATGCTACGCACCATCGCAGCGTTGACCGGCACAGCGGAGACCACGTTGACAGTGTAGGGAGGGATGAAGTGGCCGCCCACAAGGTCGCGCTCCTTGCCGGACGGAGAGGGGTCGAGTTCGGAAGGAGTGTCGTCGTCGCAGTCTTTTCGGAAGACCACAACACCGGGGGAGTAGAGCATGGCGTGATCATGGAGGCCGCTGCGGTCTTTATTCCGGAAGGTACGATGGATGTGGTAGAATGCCTGTCCACCAGGACCGGTGAGGTTAGCAAGGAGGGAGCTCGAGCGTTTGATGACGTCCTCCTGCTCGCTACTACCGATGAGGTAGGAGCCATTAGGCTTAGCGGACGCGAAAGACAGGATGCCGATGCTGGTTGACTTCAGCGAATCGGTAGAGTGTGACAAGGAAAGTTGTCTCGCGACGTTGAGAGTTGATCTGCGAGAGAACTCAACCTGCATGGAGGGGGAGGGGGAAAGGGGACGAGCGTCCTTCCATGGGCCGAGGTCGGGACAATAATGGGGGTAGAGGACGGTGCGCTGCTGACTGAGGACGATGTAGGAGGCGATATCGTGCATGACGGGTACAACGGCGGGGGCGGGTCCTACGGCAGGAGCGGGTCCTTGGGCATCCGAGGGTTGAGTCATAGCAGACGAAACAAAGGGAGCGAAGCGCTCTTCAACGTACTTGCCATCTCCGAGCACGATGTTCTGCGTCTCCAATGCAATCGCTCCCCATCGCTCGCGCCGTTGGCGCATAAGGGCCTGCGAGCGCCGCTTACGCTGCTCCTGGGCCTTCTGCTTCTTCATGCGCTGACGCTTCGCATCCCCAGTAGCAGCTTGTTTCGCGTGTTTAACGCGCTCGAAGGAGGTCGACGGGGTGACGGAGCGCCGCGCACGTTGCTGGCGCTGCCGGGCATGGGGTCGAGGATGTTTGGCCATACGGCGACGACGGAGGGTTTGGTTCTCGTTGAGAGTGTGGGGGTTCGGGGAGAACATGAGTGAGTGGCTCAGAGGCAGCAGCATCGCCTCTATATAGCAAAGCCACCGCTTACCTAACTAGGCACGGCAGTCGCACGCCTCCGTGACGCGATAGGTAAGCGCAGGAGATAAGATAATGATTGAGATTAGATTAGATCTGGAGGAGCCTGCCGCCTGCAGTCGCAGCTTGTCCGACAACCACCATCGCGCTCATCTGCCGTCTCGGACACGATGGTCGCACCGTTATATACCACTGCTTCAGGTCTTCTCTTCCATGCCGGTAAAATTCTGGTATGCACTGTCGGTCTCCCAGCCCGTGGCAAGACACACATCTCCCGCGCACTCGAACGATATCTGCGATGGACGGGCGTGAAGACCGCAGTCATCTCGCTCGGAGACTACCGTCGCAAGGTGCTTGGAGGGGCTCAGAAACTCCCGCCAGACTATTTCACCTTGGGTGCGTATTGCATCTGTAGTGGCCGGAGAACTCGCTGAAGTGGGCGTAAGGAGAGAAAAGCCCGGAGACGATCAAACTGCGGGAGAAGGTCCTCGAGGGATGCGAGCAGCAGATCTGGGATTTCTTCAACGCGGGCGGACAGGTCGTCATCTACGACGCCAACAACGGAACGCGGGAACGTCGCAACGCCATCGCGGAGAAGTTCGACAAAGCTGGCATACATGTGGTCATGCTTGGTATTCAATCCTCGTCCTTGGCCGCACTACCACTAATAGCCCCGTGAAGAGTCATCATGCGACAACGAGGATCTGATTCTATCGAACATCCGGAGTGTGAAGATCTCGTCGCCCGATGTGAGTTCATTCCCTTCTGCTAGACTGTGTCACGGTACCTCGCGGACATCCCTCCCACTTTCCGGTGCAAGGCGGGTCTGCTTCCCATATGAGGCACGTATTCTGGCCATGGGAGTGGACAGCTTGTCCTCCGCTTGACTGACGTGGTGTCATCGAGTGTTGCCCCGTGACACATCGCTACGGACTAGTCTTTGCGTCAGATGACTGTCGTCCCCTCACTTCTGGCAAGTCGAGGAATTGCTCACCTCACATACACAGTACCGAGGTTGGGATCCAGAGAAAGCCGTTGCGGATTACTACCACCGTATCAAGGACCACGAGTTCCACTACGAGCCGGTGGAGGAGACTACATGGCCTTTCATCCGTATCATCAACGTCGGAGAGAAGATAATGGTTAACGTAAGCGGTACACTTGTCAGGAGGCGGAAACAGTCCTGACTGATGATGTCACATAGAACATTCATGGCTACCTTCAGTCGCGGGTTGTCTTCTTCCTCATGAACATCCACAACCGGTTCCGGACCATCTACTTTGCAAGGGTACAGTTCAATGACTTCCTACGCCGCGATCGCTGCTCACATGGGACACAGTCCGGACAGTCGTTGATCGAGCATTCCTACAAAGCGGACTCCGACCTTTCTCCCGCCGGATGGGAGTACGCCGAGCGCCTGAAAGAGTTTGTCCTCGAGCGACGTGCCAAGTCTCTCGCAGAGCGCGGCATCGATCCCAAGGAGCGGCGACTCGTGGTACGGCTCGCCGACTGTGTTACACTCAATTAGCCGCTGATGTTGGGTCCCCATAGATCTGGACATCCGCTCGCCGGCGGTCCCATCATACGGCTTGGCCGTTCCTCACGCATAACGCCAACGATCCAGCACCCCCGGCAAAGGTGAAGGTCGTCGAGCGGCCACAGATGGCGGAGATTAATCCTGGCGTATGGGACGGGCTTACTCCCGACCAAGTGCGCAAATACTACCCTGACGAGTGGGTGCGCTTCGTGAACGACCCGTACGCGTATCGCGCTCCTCGTGCTGAGAGCTACCACGATCTCTGCGGTACGTCTCCTCACATTCACAAGCGATGCCAAGGTTGATTTCTGACTTTTACGCTACACTGCCTAGTTCGCTTGGAGCCTACTCTCATTGAGCTCGAGCGCGAGAAGGAGGACCTGCTCATCATCGGACACGCCTCCGTCATCCGCTGCATCCTCGCATACCTCATCGGCCTTCCTGCGTCCGAGATCCCCGCCATCGAAGTCGCTCGCGGCGACCTCATCGAGGTCGTCCCCACGTCATACGGCGTGTACTCCCAGGCGCACCACTTCTGGGACGGCCCTGGGCGCAGCAGCGGCCCGCCGACTCATGGCAAGGATGAACACAACTTTTACGAGAACTACGCCGAGGACACGAGGGGAAAGAGGCGGCCGGATGCCATCGTGAGTGGCTCTCCCGCACCGCCGAGTGCGTGATTCCAGGCGGTAGAGTCGGCATGAGTGGTGGGAAGCGAAAATAAGACTGTAGCATAAGATCCGTGGATTGCGGCGCGCTTGTTGTACTCATTGAACCGTGTATCACAGGATGAATACCTAGAATCATCAGGACTCGACCGATGGGTTCGCAAATCGTCAGCTGTGTTGGACGACGGCGTTGGGAGACGAGGAGTACCATCGCCGCCCGAGCGACGTTGGACGACCTACGGAGCTTCGGAATACAAGCCGCAAATTGACAAATTCGAGGACGAGCAGCCGCCTCGGGCGGGCCTACATCCGACGTCGCCGTTGCATGCCTCGAAGCTACCGGTGGGCCGACGGCTTGCGTGGATCCTTCTCTTTTTTTTTTTTTTTTTTTTTTTTTTTTTTTTTGTGGTGCTAGCCTAACAACAAGACTCTCGTCCCATGTTAGGTTACGCAGGTTTCCGAAGTACGAGTCTCCAAACACCACGCCAGGGTAATGCTTCATGCACACCAATGCTAGGTAGTGTGGGACTCACCAGGCCTCAGCCAACGCCAACTCCGCGTCGCATGCCTGGCATACCCACTAAAACCCCCGGCCGCCCAATCCAGTCCTCAGGGAGGCTGTCTCGGTCCATAAGTATCGCGTCCCAGGTCTCCAGAACCAGTTCCCTCGGGAGGGCTCGTTTCCCCAGTCTCACCGCTGTGAGTCCTTGGTCAATTCGCAGTCTGCGGTTCAGCGCTGCTAGCCATCGCGCCTGGATCACCCGCTCATGGAGCCATCGCTCCGGATCTCCCTCGTGCTGGATCACCCGCTCGCACCTGAGCTTCCACACCAGGTGCGCGGCTTCCATGTACAGGATCCTCACAAGTCTCTGCTTACCCGCCGCCCGTCTAGGTGTCAGTTCCGCCAGGGAGAGCGCCGGCGCCCCCAGCACCACACCGACCGACCTCTCTATTGGCGGGGCTCCCGCTGCTTGCAGGAGCCTGTCCACGCACGTCCACACCACACTCT